CCGTAGTCGATAATAACTGTATTCTTCCCATCACGCAGTCTGGCTTTAAAAACATTATGGTACCACAAGTGCTCTTTTTGATATAACCGATGGCACTGCGCATTCATATGATAAGAATCTGTTTGAAAAATCTGTTTTTCCGTTAACCAGCTGTCGCCCCGACCACTCTCAAAAGTTGAAACTTGTGCGAGCTAAGGACTAGTTAGGTTACGTCCAAAGTGAGTGGGTCTATTTAACCCTCCACCGCAACCCGAAAGGATTAATTGTGGCTCACGCCAATTCACACTCGACCAAATAAACCGAGCTTCTTAATGAAGCCGATTAGTTTGTATGGTGAGTGGTCTTTCAGGTCAGATGGTAGGAATGCGGCTCTGCCGAACTCTAAAAATCTGATTCGGTCCCCAGCGGGGCAGGCAGAAAGTATGTGCTCTGCTGTTTCATCATATTCCAAACACAGTCAAACAGTCCGAGTCTCTGCATATGATAATTCAAATGACAGTGACCTGTAACAAGGACTGTTAGACATCGTAGATCATCCCTACTGTAGTCCAACAACTGTGTGGTATCAAGCTTCGAAAGGTGAATAATCGCCTTGGAGTGAGCCAATCCTAGAAGATTCTGCCAGAAGTCCATACATGTTCTTGCCATCCAGGTGTTTAATCTTTGTTTGGCAAAGCCTAACGCGAGACCAGTTTTGGTCCGATGAAGCTGCTTGTAGCACCGTCCTTTGCAAGGAAAGCAGCAGCCTTGTTGCATTCCAGGCTATTATGGCCAGAGATCCAGACCAGAGACAATCTGTTAGGTTTTCCTATCGAATCGGGGAAAGTCGTTTTTGGAAATTAGCTACCAATTTAGACGTTACTCGGTAGGAGCCAAAAGCTTCCAACGCCGCTTGACTGTCCGAGAATATTTTTATTGACTTGTGTATGAGGTTGGATTCTTCCAATCTCCCCTCACGCAATTCAATAGCGTAAGTTTCCGCTTGAAATACAGTTGCATAGGTTTCTAGGCAGGTTGATATCTCTGTTCTGGGTCTGCGATTGAAAACATCTGCACCAGAACCTGAAGGTGTTTTGATCCATCTGTGAACCAACAACTATCTGCTCTTAATATTTCCCTCGTCCGGAGGATTCAGTCCTTTCTACTCGGGAACAGAACTTTATAAGGCAGTTCGTAGTTGACAGTTGGAGGCATGAAGTCAGAGGTCATTTCCAGAATGCTGTGACTTCCAATGTCAACGAACAATCTGTTGCATTATGCATTGGATTGATTTGTGCAATTGGCAATGTGTACAAGTCTATATGCAGCCCATCTAGCCTCTCTCTCCAGAAAAATATGGAGATCTAGAAAGATCTCCATGGCCGCTGACGGCGTGATACTGATGGCACCACTGATAGCCAGACAAGCCTGTCTCTGTAAGCCAGAGCTTCACCTGGGCCATTTTCTGTGAAGCCTTCAGCCACCAGGCAACTGCACCATAAGTGAGTATTGGTCTGGCAATCATCACATAAATCCAATGGATTTGTTTGGGACCTAAACCTCAAGTTTTACCACAAATTTTTCGAGATGTCCATAGGAATAGTCTGACTTTGTGTAAAACGTTTTTCAAGTGAGCGTTCCAGGTGAGTTTCTATCAAGGACAATGCCAAGATATTTCACCTCTGTTCCAAATCGAATGACCTAAATAGAGTAATAAATAATTTGTCAATTTCTGTCAATAATCCAAATTTGAACGTAGCAAAAAAATAAAATGCTTGGGGTTGACAACAGATTCCAATTTGGGGTTCATTTACCATATTAACTCTCTGATTTCGAAAGCATATGGTCTACTGAAGCCGTTTTGCTCTCACAAACAATACTTGATCGAACATCTGAAAATTCAACTATGTAATACACTTATTTTATCAATTTTCAACTACGGTAATATTGTCTACGGCCCCTGCGTTCATCTAGAAACTTTTTCCAGGATCCAAAAAGTTCAGAATGTCTGTGTCCGATTAATATTTTCGCTGAATCGAAGCGATCATGTAACATTTTTCAACAATCTCAGGTGGGTGAAATGTTAAATAGAAGGAAACATCACCTTGTATCCTTCAGAGGTTACATTTTTAAACAATCTCAGGTGGGTAAAATGTTAAATAGAAGGAAACATCACCTTGTATCCTTCAGAGCTTAGTCTTGTAGATATTTTTCGTTCAACCAGCAGAAGAACTACGCTGAAACCAATCGAGTAGATTGGTTTCAGATATCACCCATTTGCAGATATCACCTTTCATCCGTACAGAAAAAATCTGGGACTCGAGTGATTTTGAAGAGGCTCGACTGTATATGGAACATTCGTCTAAGAAAAAAAATGTTAACTGGTAACAGCTTCACCTCATGAACATAGCTCCAGAAGCGGGAAATAAACCATGTACCAGTACTGCCGGATATACTATAAACACTATGGCGTTAGAGGTTTACTTCTCCAACTGATAAAATCATATCTAACAGGAAGAACTCAATGTGTTTTCGATAACAGTGAACTATCCGACTTACGTGAGATACAATATGGTATGCCCCAAGGGTCTTGGGACCCCTTTTCTCCATTATTTACATCAATGATCTCTTTTACTACCTTTTTGCGAACACTACTATCATGTATGCTGATGATGCAACATTGATTGACAGACACTCAGACTTGCATACTCTTAAATACATTGAAGAGGAGGTGGAAAATATAGCAGATCACTGGTATAGTAATAATCTACTCTGCCTGAACAGAAACAAAACACAAAAACTGAACTCAAACTCTTTGGTATAACCTTGGACGATAATCTCCATATCCAAATACATGTATGTTCTGCGTCAACTGAAAAAGTTTGCAAACATATAAACTCTATTGAGTGCCTTTCATGGCCTCATACAATCCCATTTGAATCACGGTATCATTTTATGGGGTAATACTCTAAACCCCAAAAAGTCTTCATTATTTAAAAGCGGGCTATAAGAGTCATAGCTAATGCAGGACATAGGGATCACTGCCGGCCGCTGTTTGTCGGGTATTGAATAATGTCTGTACCTTCCCTTTACATAAACCACTCACTACTACATATACATAGAAACAAAAATGCCTACTCAACTAATGCGGAGTTCCATAACTACAATACCAGAAATAAAAATCTGCTAAGAGAACCAAGACATCATCTAAGCAAGTCAGCCAGAAACTCAGTTGATATTAGGATATACAGTGCGGTCCATATGTATGGAATAAATTCATTTTCAGCGTTAATATGTACTATGTAAAAAAAACCTGAAACAGGCCGATTTTTATTCATAAATTGACAATTTACAGTATGAAAATATTATCCCCCTCCAGCACCCCTTCTGAATTATAAGCACCCCTTCGAAAATTTTAAATAGCAAAGAGGGTCGTGTGGCACCTTACTGGAAAGGGATTTTAGTCCTCTGTTCAGCAATATGGAGTTTTTTAAGTTTGGTGCAATCATAACTGAGAAAATTGATTTTTAGGATGTAAAATTTTGATAATGTCTCTAGGTATCACAAAACTTCACGTAGAATGAAGATAATGATGCCACGTAATATTTAGAATGTATTTTTCAATGTACTCTACAATTGAATTGAATGTTCAAAATGACCACCAATAACTTCTTGACAATAACCGAGACGATTTTGGAATTCTCGTACAACCTCGGGGGTTATTTTGTTAATTTCTTCCGTTATCCTAACTTTTAAATCAGCAATATTGTTTGGTCCATTAAAATATACTTTAGATTTTGAATAACCACCTAAGAAGTAATCGAAAGGAGTCAAATCGTGGGATCTAGCCTGCCATTCAATCGTTCCACGTCTTCCAATCCACCTATTGGGAAAAACCTCGTTTAAATAATTTGTAACTGTACGTGCAAAATGCGGTGGAGCTCCGTCTTGTTGGTAGTGAATAGCTCGATCTATCTCATTTGGATGATTAACATCAGGAAAATGTATTTGTAATGTAGGCACTAAAAAGTTAATCAAAAAATCTAGATAAACCTCACCATTAACAGTGCCCTCAAAAAAATAAGGACCAATAATTTTATTGTTAATGATACCAGCCCAAACGTTAACTTTTTTAGAATATTGAGTGTGACTTGCACACATCCAGTGAGGATTTTCTCTGCTTCAATATCTACAGTTCTGTCTGTTAACTGTTTAAATGAAACGTCGCTTCATCAGAAAACACTATTTTGTTTATGAACTGCAAATCTGCGTTCATTCTATCCATCATCAATTCACGGAATTCTTGCCTATTATCAGGATCATCTTCATTTAACTCCTGAACCAACTGAACTTTGTAAGGGTGGTATTTTTCTTTATGCAAAACTCTCAAAATAGATGATTTACTTACATTATTGTCGGCGGCAAGTTCTCGAGTTGTCTTATGCGGATTTTCCTCAATCTCTAGAAGTACATCTGACATTTTTTCATCAGTAAATTGAACATTTCTACCTGGTTTTTCAATATTTTTCACACGTCCAGTTTCACGAAACTTTTTTTGAATTTTGCTAACTGTAGACTACGACACGTGTTTACCAGGGTATTTATTATTAAAAATTTCACAAACCTCCTTTTGAGTTCTTGTTTTATTACCACAACCAATCATAATTGAAATGTATATTCTTTGAGTCTCGGACAAATGAGCCATAATCAAATATAATACGCCCACAAATATCATACTGACGATATTTTTCTACACCGAGTGTAAGAAAATGTATTGGTGAATGTATTATACTCATCAAGCAAGTATCGGGGATTCTAAGATACAAAAAAGCAGTCACTACAGCTGGAGAACTCCCTAATTTTGATCAAGTGTTAAACTACAGTGAAGTATCTCTTAATAAATACAGCGACTTAACTAGACCCGACTGTTTTTGCTCACCTCAATCAGGCATAGCGCACACGGAGACTGGCACAAGAAGAAAAAGTATGAAAGAATTGTTGTGATATTGTGGTCAACTCACCGTACAGTCCGAATCGCCCACGTAGCAGAAATCTCCAGATACAGAAGTAGGAACCCACAGATGGTCACCGTTGATTGCTGATTCCTCCCAGTCTGGAGTACTACGAAGCACCCTCTCACCAACTTCTGGTGATCGCCTGGAAAGAGGTAAATTTTAAGTTCAGGTCCAAATTTAATTATCATTCATTAGAAGAAAAAACATATAAGAAATCATTTCATACAGAACATTTTCAGTCCGACTTCAGACGAAGGACTATTCGAAGTTAGGAGAAAGTTTGTGGTAAACAAGGTCGGCATCACTTTACAAACCGAGTAGGTGGTATTAAATGTGAATATTCACCAGAAGTGATCATTATGTTCAAAAATAACCTCAGGAATAAATTGATATCATGTCAGGACAAGCTTAATTTTCCATAAATTGCCACAAAACGCTAAAAAAATAGATTGACTACGAATCGTTCAAAGAGCATGCATCTTTCGTCATCGACTATTTGAAACAAGAAGGGATTATGAAGACGTTGACAGTTGATGGCCGTCTGTATACTGTGCCAGAAAAAATCAGAGTCTACTGTACCGTAATTCATATATGTGTGATTGATGACTTGTTTACTTCATTGTAATTCATGATCACTCAAATGAAATGAATAAATACACTTTTGTCGAAGTACCACTGGAATTTTTTTTTACGACCGGTTTCGGGTTTGATCCCATTATCCAGTATAAAATCCGAAACCGGTCGTAAATTCAAAGTTTTGGTCGTCGTCTCTTCAAATCACCAACCACCTTGACAGCATCTGATGAGAACATTCTCGGCATCCCGTATCAGGAATCATCGGGAACGCTGACGTAAATCATGTCCTGATAAAATTGCATTTCTATTCGCTGGCTTGGTTTGTCGGAATAATTAAAAAGCTGATATCCTGAAAACTTTCTATTATTGCTTAGGACTTGGCACTTCACAATTAGTCATCGCAGTGTTCTTGAAAGTTCCAGCCTACATTGAACACATGCCAAATCACGTGACCTCCAGTAGCAGGAACACATGAATGTGTGCTAGACGGAACGTCCTTACACCAAAGGTTCCAAACAGTGCATCATAAGTACTAACTTCGTCATGAGGTAGTTAATATTCAAGGGTTATATGCTTAGTGTACTAAGTTCAATTTGTAAAAATGTGTGAAAAAAATTATTTTCGAGAGGAAACTTTTTGGATTTCTACTTTTCCATTAGTAAATAATATATATGGTAACTTCTAGAGAAAGGTAAAAAAATAACAAACTATGGAATTTTTTCATAAAGATATACAGGGCTTTTCATGATGAGCGTTAATTAGCCGTTTCTGGCAAACTATTCAACGGATCAACCTGAAAATTCCATTGTATGCATAAATCAATATGACCTAGACGCCTAAAATATTTGACGAAGAGACGTTGTGGCTTCTACTATAAAGTAGCGGCTTCTTTGATTTTTCAAATGGAACACCCCGTATATAATATCATATTATGATTCATTATCACTTTGTCAACAAATTCATATACTATTTCCCTATACCTATCTATTACCGTTTAGAAGATATAAATTAATTTCGATATTTTTTTTA